GACAAATCGGGGCCACAAATGATTGTTGCTGCAATTTGAGGCAAGGACAGCAGGAGAACCCTGCGCTGCCTGCTGCTCTTCTCCCTCCTGAGGCCACTCCAGTTCATCACACAGATGGTTCTCCCACTCGTCCCCATGAGTACGTGCACTCCCTTCATTATCCAGCATTGAAAGTTACATGCCAAGAGCAGCTTGATCAGGGATGGTGCCATTTCGTCTTCATTCTGATGGGCTGTGGGAAGCTCTGTCCATCCTGCAAGGGACAGAGCTGGTGGGACAGGACTGTCGAGGCACTGCTCTGCTGGAGCCCTGCTTCCTGCAAACAGCAATGGCTCTCAACTGGGGAGCTGAGAGCAGTGTGTGGAACATCCCATAGCAGTTAAATGCAACTAGTGGCAAGATAAATTGCAAAAAAAAATCGGGGCTCTTGAGAAAAGTGGGTATTATTCTCGCTCTGGTACTTTCTCAGTTGGCAAGGCAAGATGTGGTCGGTTGTAAAAAAATTCTGTGGTGTTTTGAACTGCTAATAATGGACCTAATGCTGCTCCCATTGAATAAATACCCAAGTCTCCGTTGCCTTCAGGACGAATAATGAGCTAATTAACAGCTTCAGCAGCTCAAGCTGTTAAATGGTTAATGTTAAATGTTAAAATGTTAAATGTTAAGGCTCTGCAGAGAGCAAAGTGTTCAGGAGCTTCTTGTTCCTCACCCTTCAGCTATTTTACTTTACTGTCCCTTGTGTTTCAAGCGTGAGTGTCTGCACCTCCTGGACATGCTTTCTTCTGCCCATCACAGAGGTGGTGGGAGGCTTAATTCCTTGTTATTTGTCAAGTGGGCTCTGATTGCCAGCTGAAAGGGAGAGATTGATAGAGCAGTCCCGTGCGGTGACAGCAGCTTGGTCTCTTGGAAAGACAGGCTTTGCTAACAGTGCGTGGGGTAGAAAGGGGTAAAAGCCTTCAGCCAGATCCATTGGTGTTGTGACTCTGTGTTTAATCTGACGGGACGAATGCAGGGGGAAAGAAAATGGGGCAATTTGTTAGGGTTCAGTGAAGTGCTAACTAGGAGCTGCTCTTGGGAGAGAACTAAAGCACCTGGATGTGCATGCCACTGCCGTTCCTGTTTTGTGCACAGAATTAGGAATTCTTTGAGGACTGCTCATGGTTTTGTTTGTTGTGGTTTTTAAGGTTTTAAACCTCCACTGCAGTTTCAAATGAAACAAAGACCGGGGCAGTCAGAGACAAATGGATATAAGCAAAGACTGAAATCCAGAGTGTCTGCAAAACTGTGGGCACACTCTGAAAATGAAATGATTCCTGCCCCTGCTTTCTAACCTCACCCTTACAGAAGTGTTTTTCCAAAGGGAACCCTCCAAAGCACACGGGCTGAGAGGGGTGTGTGGTGAGTCCCTCTGGGATCTTTGCTTTATAAAGAGGGCAGAGAGAGCGGATTAAATCAATATTTCATTTATTTGGGCTTGTAATTCCTCTTACATCAGCTGCCACATAAAGATTTTCCCCTATTTTCTTCCCCTCCTCCTTGTCCTCATTTACTATGCACCAATAATTTCCCTTTGACGCTTTCCTGCCAGTCCTAGTGCCAGATGGCCCTGGTTCTGAGCTTCTCCCCTCTCTTGGGAGCAGCCCCTATTGTCAGTGAAAAGGAGGCATCGTGGCTTTGAACCCAAAGCTGGGACCCAAACTTCAGCCCTGGTGTGAGGAGGAGCTAACCCACTAATGCAGGAAAACATTCAAACAGCACACCCTCCCACTCATCGCCATTAAGGAAAGAAATAAACCCCCCTTCACTGAAGGCTGTTTTGCATTTTCCCCAATGGTCCATGTATAGAAATCTGGTGCGAATTTAATTCTCTCACCACCTGATTCCACTTCCCAGCCGCGAGGTTCCCTTTGTGTCATAAACTCAATTAGACATATGCATTTCACATCATGGGCACAGATGTGAAAACAAAGTGCGCACGACCTTGCTCTTTCTCTCTCTGTAGATAACGCCACCACCCTTTGGCTTTAAAGTGATAAAGAAAGTGAGTAAATCTATTTAGGGCACTAGCCTGCCACGCAGAATGAAGTGCCTGGCTGTGGTGAGTGTCTGGGGTATGCTATGACATTTTGGAAGTCCCCTTGGTTTCCCCACCCAGGGCTGGATGATGGGGAGTCGCTCCCCCTCTTCCATTTCAGAGTCTTTGCCCATGGGTGCATGAGTGGTAGGTGCTAAGGAATTTTCCAGCCGCAGGAGTTGATAGGAAATGAAAGGAGTGGGTATTAATTTCTTGGTGTGCTGCTCAGGATAGGGGGAATGGTCAGTGCAAAGCTGGACACCAGACTGTATTTCTGTGTGCCACACAGCATGCAGCCCTGCCTTGTAAAAAAAAAAAAAAAAAAAAAAAAACAACCAAGTTTCTCTCCCTAGTTTGACTTTTCTACATTTTGTGTCCATTTGGGTTTGGAGAGGGACACAAGAGGTTTCAGCATTGAGCAGAGAGTTAAATTATGCAGCTGCAAGACTGCCAGGCCCTTCAGAATAGGATGCTTCGTTTAGATTTTCCACAATGCTATTGAAGTGCTTATTTTCCTCCTGAAGAGACACAAACAGATGCAAACTTCTGTAAACACTTTAGAAATGAATTCAGTGAGTTTGGCCTCTCAGCAGTGCTCAATAGCTGACAGAAAAATGTCTAATTAGTGCAAGTGGAAATAATAGGGCCACTTGGATTCCTTCCATCTTCCTCCAAGTCTACTTTTCCTAGGAACTCAAAAGCTCTTTTGTTTGGTAGGTCACCCTCTCTCAGGCTTTTGTGCTTCAATCTATTAAAGGAAAAAGGGGAGGAAAAAAAAATAGATTAGGCGATGATCTGTGCTTAAATATATAGCCTGTTGATGAGCATTTCAAATGGCTGGTTTGCAGTGTCAGTTTACAGGTGCTTGGAGAGGGGGACTCTTCCATTGTTGTCCGGCACAAGCGGAGTTGTGTGTGCCAGCCTCCAGGAATCTTTTTCAAGTGCCATGCTCTTCGAAAATCCAACTCAGGCTCAGTGGGAGGCGGGGGAAGGAAATTCGTACAAATCCACCTCGCTGAAGTGCAAACAAGCAAATGCTTGCAACAGATCTGTGCTTTCTTGCCGTGTACTGCAGGCTATTCAGGTGGTTTGAGGTGGGCTTTCTCCTGCACACCTCAGATGGTAGTTGTGCTGCTCAAAATCAAGAATGAGTCTTGCTGCCAGATTGTGGGACTTTGAGCTAAAAGCAAAGAGGAGAGAAATGAGGCTGGGGAGGAGTCCAAGAAGCCTGAGCGGTGCCTAAAGCAGTTCTTGGATGTTGCTGGCTCTGCCGTGTGTTTACTCTAGGAAGGCAAGGGAAGGAGGCTGATGCTGAAACAAAAATGGGACATAGCTGCCAATCTTTATGTTTCAGTGGGGATTTGGACAAAGTTTTCTTGCATTCTGTCACCTTCTAGTGGTGCTGTGGGCCTGATTCTACCTCCCCTGTGTTGCCTTTACTCTGTCATGAGTTGAGTAGCTCACTGAGATGAATGATATGAGAAACACATCCTTTTTCTGAGGAGGCTTTGTATGGTTGAAGGTGTTTTCTGCTTGTGGTTTCCTCTGGTGGTTGACCATACTGCAAAGCAGTAATCAGCCACTGCCAGCTCTGAGACGTTTGAGCCAGGCCAGGCTCTCCATAGGCAGTGTGAGGCTGCTGAATAGCTGGTGGCCACGAAGACCAAACAGGTCAGGGCACCTGCGGGGCTCTATAGCTGAAAAGATGGGTCTTTCTTTGCATGTCTGTATTTTGGGCAGATGTTCCAGTGAAACAATGACTGGATGCCATTCTGCCCATCTTGTGTGACAAACCTGTAATCATAGAATGATAGTATCATAAAATGGTTTGGGTTGGAAGGGACCTTAAAGCTCATCCAGTTCCAAACCCCTGCCATGGGCAAGGACACCTCCCACTAGACCGTGTTGCTCCAAGCACCATCCAAACTGGCCTTGAACGCTGCCAGGAATGGGGCAGCCATGGCTTCTCAGGGCAAAAAGGGCATCACCTGGATATCATCATGTGAAGCACCTCCTTTCTTCATGGGGCAGGAGAACCAACCACTGCCCACCATGAGAAGGGCTCGTTTTTTGGTAGACGTCCCCATGTTCATGTGGACTTCTGCAACCATGATGAGGCTGTGTGCCTCCTCATTGCTGTCTTTGCTGGCTTCCTGTTCTCTTAATAACACGTTATCTCAGGAGCTGTGGCTGATTCCTCATGTCAGTGTGATTGATCAACAGCTGTATGAATCCAAGCCAGTTCATATAGACTCGATAGTCATTAAAGATGACCTGCAAGGGAAAAACATCAGGCTCCTGGCCTGTTTGCTTGTTTGTGGTGTACAAAGGAGTGCATGGCTTGAGCTTCATCTAGGATACTGGCCATAGGGACTATTTTCCAGTCTTTCCAGAGTCATGTCCCCCTTTTAAACTAATTGCTATTACTTCTAGTGATCTGTTGGGCATCATTTAAATTAATTAACAGAGCACCAAATGATGTGATTCCAAACACTAAACAACAATTAGAAACAGAAAAAATAATCAGGAATGATACCACAGCTCAAATAAAATAAATAGCTGCAACCTTCCTGTCTTGAAAAAGGAAATATGATCAAGAATTTCAAACTTAAACAAGGGAAGTTCAGGCTAGATAAAGGAAGTTCTCCCCTGTGAGGGTGGTGAGGCCCTGGCACAGGTTGCCCAGAGAAGCTGTGGCTGCCCCATCCCTGGCAGTGTTTAAGGCCAGGTTGGATGGGATTTGGAGAGACCTGCTCTAGCGGAAGGTGTCTCTGCCTGTGGCAGGGGCTTGGAACTGGATGAGCTTTAAGGCCCCTTCCAACCCAAACCAGTCTGGGATTCTGTTTCTTTTGTCTGTAGACAGTTCACTGAGCCTCTGTAAGGTGAGTTTCTCCAAGGCTGCCCCTGCCACTGGTGTTCTTTTCAGGTTTATTTGAAGGCCTCCGTCATGGTCAAGGACTGCATGACAGCCACTGCTATTGTGTTCCTGATTGACTGGTTCCTGTACTGGATTGATGCCTCCAGCCAGCTTCTTCAAACTGCCAAGGGTCTGCACAGGCTGCAGCCCACCACACCTGAGTCCTCAGGTGCTCATCTGCCAGGCTCGCCTCTCCGTCAACACAGGTTACCGCTCCCTTCTTTCAGCTCAAGCTCAATTAGGAACTATTTGACTTTGAAGACACTTTGTCCTGTGCTAGAGGTGACATGCTTACAGGCCCAGTGCCATATTTTTTAACGCACAGCGTACTCCCAGCCTCCTTGAGCTCTCCCAGCTCCTCTCACTAGCACAAAGGGGCTAGTATAAAGGGTTTCAGAGCCAAAAGCAGGAGAGAAAATTGTGAAAGGGTGTGGAAAATACTAATTGGAGCTTTTGTTCCTTAACAAATCTTCCCTGCTGGTTTTAAACAGGGATATCTGAATTGCTATACTTCTGACCAAGGGCCTTTAAAAAGTAAATTAGAATCCTGGCATTTTCTCTGCACTGTCCCAGCTGCTTTTTTTGCTTCAGTGGGGCCACTTGACTATGCAAACAATGCTGCTTACAACCCCTCAAGGATAAACTGATTTAAGAAAAAAATAAATTCCATCATTCCTATAATGTTGGCAACACCTGAAGGGTTTTTAATGCATCCTCCCACTGTCACACTGGGGAGAAGAAAACAAAGCCAGGCAATCCTGCTCTGAAAATCTCAGTGCAGGAGTATTTTATTTGCAGAAAACAGAACTGTAAGTTCTCTGCATAGTCATTTTTATTTGTGCCTGTGGACTTCTTATGCTCCTGTTGCCATGGGGTCCAGATACTGGCACACACCAGTTGATGAGCTAGTTCAGCCAACATTTACACTGGCTGGAGCAGCATTACTGACTTCAGCCAGACCCAACAAAACCCGAGGTTCTACATGATTCAGGCTGATCAAATTAGACCTGTAAGACATATTAAGGCTATATATTCGGTGCTTAAGATGGTTCTTCAAAGCTAGGTAGAGGGTCACATGGAGGCAGCATAGCTTGAGGCTATGCTTTGTGTGATGGGATGTCAGGTCAGCTGCCTTTGAAGTGCATCTGAGCTTCCTGTCCTGGCAAACTCCATGTATCACAGAATTATAGAATGGTTTGGGTTGGAAGGAACCTTAAATCTCATCCAGTTCCACCCCCTGGAAGTTGGGTGTCCCTGGGGACACCTTCCGCTAGACTAGGTTGCTCCAAGTACTGTCCAACCTGGCCTTGAACACTGCCAGAGATGGGGCAGCCACAGCTTCTCTAGGTAACCTGTGCCAGGGACTCACCACCCTCACAGGGAAGAATTTTTTCCTGATTTTCCCTGAACTCTGTTAGTTTAAAGCCCATTCCCTTTGTCCTCTCCCTACATGCCCTTGTCAAAAGCCCCTCTCCAGATTTCTTGTTGGCCTCTTTAGGTATTGGAAGACTGCTGTGAGTTCTCCTCTGAGCCTTGTTTTCTCCAGGCTCTGCAGTCACATATTTATAATGTAGTGCATGTACATTCAAGATTGTTGATGGCAAGAAATCTGTTTGCAGATGAAATTGGGATCTACCAGGTTAATTATCACAGAGCTTCTCCATGAGCTTTTCTGAAGCAAGTGTCTGGCTAGAAGCAGTTGCCTCAACTGCCTTTTCTGCTTTATATGTATATGTGAAATTGGCCATGTCAGCTATTCCTGAGCATGGGGTAGCACCTGCAGTGCATAATTAATGAAAAAAAATTTAGTCTGAGTGTGGAAATTGTACTGAAGAAGAGTACAATTTGCAGAGGCTTTCACTGATGAATATTTTTGTTCACTTCATGCCACACGATACATTTTAATATTAATTTTCTATCTTTCTATCTTCTATCAGGTAAACTTTTAAAAGCTGAATATATCCTAAGCAGCCTTATTAATGACAATGGAGCAACAGGTACATATATAATTCTTTTCCAATTTTATAGTTGCTGTTTTGATGTGATTTTGATACTAATTTCAACAGTCACACGAGCTTCAAATACAGCCAGTCTGGCCCTAGTAACAACTCTTTACATCACATCCCTCTTTTCTTCACCCTTCTTTGCTAAAATGTGGAAACTGCAACTTCGTTTTGAAATTTCCATAATTTATCCTTGAATATCTTCACTTAGGTGGAAAAATATTCTGGATTTACTGCTTTCCTACTAATTTCTCTGCACAGAGAAATTTAAAATGTGAACCAATTTCAAGGAATTACCTGATCTAGAAAACAAAGACAACTCCCTCAGCTCAAAAAAATCCAGATTGTTGGAGTAATGCATATCCTCCAAATTCACACTGATCCTATGAATTAAATGAATACTTAATTCTAGACCTGTAGCAGACTGTGGTGCAATTATTTAGTATCTTTGGAGGTTAAGAAAAAAAGAGAGTGAGTCCTGGTTCTTACAGCACTTCAACTGGTGAGTAGACATGCAAAACTGTAAAGATGGGACTATTTCTTAACGTGTGATAATGCTAAAATTACTCGCTCCCCCTTTATATCAGATTACTGCACTGCTGGTCGTGTGTTTTGTCTCAGATCTGGAGGGATGTGTAGTATTTCTAAAGGGAAGAATTTATTCTGACCGATATAGAAACATATCCATAATTATGATTTAGTTCTCGTTTTGAGACAATACATTTTAGGGTTTGATATCTGTTCTCCATTTTCTTTTCCTGCAGGGGTTATTTAATAAGTAAATTCAGGTTCCACTACAGCTATTAAACTTGGAAAATTTAAGAAGCCTGTTCTGGGCTTTGTTGGTTTGTTTTTCATGTGGTACTGAGATTCTCATATAAGAAGGGCCTTCATGCAAGAGTGTTTTAAGCAAAATGCCAGCTATCATTGTTACAATAGAACTGGCTATGCAAAATACTTTTGCAGTATTTCTTAGGACTGTGCTTTTTTAAAAGACTATTTCCATAGTATTCAATTGTAACACTTTTTGTTTAACACTGAAGATGTGTTGTTGAGGCTCAGCACAACTTTGTGCTTGGAGTTGCAGTGCAATGTTCACAATACTTAGGAAAGCTTAGTGATTTTAGTTCATATTCTGTTCCAAAATCCAATATAGATTTGATAACAAAAGACTTTGTGTAACTAATCACACTTTGTTAACATGAAAACATTTGCTTTAATATTAATGAGGTACTGATATCTAAAAAAACCAACATGTTTTGCCAATGATTAAAAGTATTTTGCTGAGCTGTATATATTGGTGACCACAAAGACATCCCATATTAATCCTTTTGAGTGTTTTTAGTGAAACTGCTGGTTTTTTTATAGAAGGATTTTTTGTTACTTTACAGAAGAGAGGTACCTTTCACTTTTTAGGTTGTTTTTATTCTGTACATAGCTGTCACTCAAGCTACATACCCATAGAGCTCTCAACTTATATTCCTGAATGTACTGTTACTTTTTGATCTATCTGAATTTAAGTCCTGGCTCAAACCAGCTCAATTCATTGGGCAAAATCCTGGCAATTTGCTGGGATTTGGGTTAGCCTCAGAGGCTTGAAATTACTGTAACATTTTTAATTCTCTACTGAGTTTTCCCACTCTTTCTGCAGGTACCTGGTGATATGCTAAGGAAAGTGATAGGATTCACATGCAGTCAGTCTGCTTACAAATCGGAGGCCAGATTTTGCAAAAGCTTGGTAAGGCTTTTTTCTACAAACATCTACTTAAGGTTTTCCTCTTTCTTTTTTTTTTTTTTTTAATTTGCAGTCCCAAAGTCACTCTTCCTTCCCAAAGGCATGCAATAGTTTATCACAAGTACATCACACCAATTTCATCTCTCAAGACAAGAAAATTCCTAGTTTTTGGCTTATCTGGCTTGGTAGTTGAACTTTCATCTGCCATGACTGTTCAGCTGAAGTCTTTTATGAGCATAAAATGTGTGTTCATGCACAACCAAAAGCTAAAGGCTACCAATAAATGTTCAGTGTCACCAAATTAAAAAATGTTGTGGTATGCTTTTACACTGTTTTGAGGGCTCCTGGCTCCAGGAGATGTAAAAAATAAATATTGAAAGGCATCTGTAGTGGTAATCTCCTTAGTGACTATTTTTCTGATTGATTTCAGGGATGTGGTACGAGGCAGCGGCGTTGATTTGGGCTTCAATTGTGGGATATTTCAAACTTCCTCAACCAGATAAAAAGGTAGTATTTCCTTTTCACTCTGGATATCCTTGCCAATCTAATAATCATTCCGGATTAGTTTTTGTTCACTTCAGAAAAGTCCTTTAGCAATAATGTTTCAATTAGGCACCTCAGACAAAGTTAATATGCAGGGCAAATACTCTGTCTGAAGTCTGTATTACACATTGTTTCCGCATGCATACACAGATTTGCAGACACCTTTTTTCCTGCAGGGGACTAAAAGTAATAGTCTTCGTTAAGCAGAATTATCTGAAGTGAACCATCACTGAGGGTGTCACAGGTGCCTCTGGCAAGGGCAGACTAAGCCCAGAATGCAGCCATAGATTTTATTCATTTACTTATTTATTAGGACTAAGGTTAATATTTTTTTCCCTGGTAGCCAAGCATGTCTGCTTGCTGAGCTCTACTACACTGTCTCTTGTGGGTGATGGCTGTTCCCCAACACTGCAGTATCTGAACACCTTGCAACAGCTACCATACCTGTCTTGAGCACCTTTTTGAGGCTTGGCCATGCTAATCTTCCCACTGTACATGAACTAACAGTCATACCTTGCATCCGTAGCTAAGCAGGAATGTGAACCTATGCCTAACAAGTCCTAGGGTGATGCTTGAAGAAGTTTTGTAATTGTACCCCAGCATAAGATATTCCACAAAACCAGACCTCATTACTTCTCCTCTGCCATACCTTAAAGCTTAACCTCAACCTCAGAACTTTTTTAAAGGAACAAAGATGTGTAGGGAATTTTGCAGAAAGCAAACACTTAATGATTAAGGCATTCTTAACTATTTAGCTAGGCAGACCCTGAGCTACCATGTACAGATCAAATCTTCCAGAGACAGAGAGAGAATCAGCAAGTTCATAAATCTATATGTTACATGTTCATACCTCATTTTTTAATGGGTCCTGTAGAACCAATTACAAATTACCAACAACCCCCCCCTAATTATATCAACACCAAGAACTTTGCCTTTCCTCCAACTCTGTTTATTTGTGTTTTCTTAAACAGTACAGTAAGCTAGGGAAGTGTGTTAAAAAAGACGCTTTGTTTCTTAGGCTTTGTGTGATGAACATTTATTACTTCTACCATCTCTCCAGACATCTTCACCCTGGGTTTTTTAGAAAGACTAAGGTCAGCTGACAAGTTCTTAAGCATAATTTTTGATTTCTGTAGTCTTTTCTGAAAAACAGTGGTAAAACAGTCCTTTTTTTTTCCAGACATGATTAGCCAAGGGCTTAATGCAGCTTTTGGTGACATCACAAGATTAAGCACCTTAGGAAAATGCAATACTAAGGAAAACACAATGCTATTTAAAGTGAAACCTACAGCTAGTGGTAATAGGGGTACCTGCCACTCATGGATCTGAAAGATCTGCTGACTGTGACCAGATAGAGAACAAAGACAACATAAAAAGTTCACCAAGCTCATTAAAAAAATTTCCAGAGTTTCCAGTATCCACCAGGCTACACTTTCTGCAAGCTGAAATGAAGAAAACTCTATCAAGATGACATCTCTGAATTTCTTAGCAGTGCTTCTCTTTTGATCTTGTTTGTTAGGGTTGTTGTTTTTTTTTCCTGGGGTGTTCTACCCAGAACCTACTTTGTTGTGCGCAGTAAAATTCAAAATACAGGGGGAGAAACACTATGATAACTTTCCATTTCTTTTTCAGGGAGTTGCTACTTCCTTGGGTATTATTGCAGACATCTTTGCTTCTATGAATGAGAAGGATTATGTATGTTTTAAAACCAAAGCCGACATGGACCTGGTAAGACTTGGTTTGGTATTTGTGTTTTCTTTTCTTTGAAAGGAAAGCCTTTAAGATGAGGGTTTCCCCCTTGGGTTGTTTGGGTTTTTTTTCTATTTCACTAGAGCCTTCTCCAGAAGTTCAGTCATCATTTACTATCAGCTGCCGAGGCCTGCAAACTAGCAGCAGCCTACAGCCAATACACCCCTCTGTTTGTCCTCTCCGCTGTGGTAAGTACTAGTCTTCATTCTGAAAGTGTTCTTTGTGTCAGAAAAGAGTCCAGGCTGTTCAATTTGGCTCAAATTTGGCTTTCAAACATTGCATCATACAGGGTATTCCGTCCTTGTTGTGGGTATGATGCTGTGTTGTGGGTATGATTCATTTGCTCTGGACTCCAATTGGAAGCTAAGCAGATGGGTGGAAATGCTGATTCTCCTATAACTAGAACTGTATTACAGAGGAAAAAGAGCAAGATTATTTCCTCCAGGAAACGCAGCAGCAGACAGGCAGAGCTGATGTTTGCTTCGAATCATGTAAGAGAAAGAAGTATTTTTTCCTCCCTTTATTTATATGTAGCAGAGGTCCAGGTTTTTAATTCCTTCATTCCTCTTTCATTGCCCCCAGAACACCCGTGGAGTGTGTTTGCTGTCCTATAGTCACTCCAAGGACTGTCCCCCAGAAAAGAGAAAGTTCTACTTGTCTCCCAAGGAAGGGCAGCAGCAGGAAAAGGGCTCAGCAGAGGAGCAGTGCTGCAGAACAGAATCGGATGAGCATAGTCAAGCTGCATGCTTGAACTTGATGCCTCCCGGAGCCTGGCATTCTTCCCCTCCAGAGGCTCTACATAGCCATGGAGGATCTGCTCAGCTTTCCCTGGAGGTCGATACGACTCTAGCTGGGAGACTGGTAGAGAAGGTGTCTCTTTATGGAAAAGAGCTGCGGGAGGGAAGACACCATGGAAAGAGTTTTTCAGAAGAGACAGGCGGGGAGGTGAACAATGTGGTTCCTTCCCTTTCCACCCCTAACTCTGCTCCTACCAAGGGGCAGGAGGAGGAAGAGAAGTCTTTCACGTGGGTGGAGCTGGGCTGCAAGACCAAGGACAGCAGCACCCCCCTGCCCCAGCCCAGGAAACATTTTGTGTGGGTCCACCCAGGAGGAGAAGCCGCAGATAGCACAGAGGATCCCTCATTTGAGGCACATCCCCCCATAAATGAGGGTGCATCTGTACTACCAACAAGCATTGAGATGAGAAAGGCCAGTGGCTCCTCTGTGTGTGATTTGCTGAGGAAATCTGCGCTAGTGGGAAATGGACCTCTCAAAGTGCCTGAAGTTGACACCCAAGCAGAAACAATAGATGATACTGAATTTGATTTCATCAGTATTGGAGATTCAGTGAACAATTATCCTACGACATTTGTTCCAAAGCATCAGTCAACTCCCTGTGTGCTGACAGCTTTGCCCTCGAGCGGAAAGATCTCCATAACTGACCACTTTTACTATGCCACTACTGAAAAAGATGAAGGAAAGTCTCAGAACAGGGTGAACAGCAAAAGGCAGTCCAGTTCATTCCTGAGTTCACAGTACAAACCAGTACAGATGCCAAGAGTTCCCCTAGAGGTCCACTTCTGAACCCAAGAGGAAGTGGTTTTGTCTTCATGCACGGGTAGAACATAATTGGCTTGTCCAGAGATTGATGCCTACAGGCATTTTTAAGTCTAAACAGCTTCGTAAAGCATACCGTAAGTTTCTGCACAGTGATGGGCATTTACTGGCAGCAATAGGTACTCCCATAGAGAACAGTCTCAACTTCGGCTTTTCAACACAATGTTTTAGTCATCATTATTAAGACTTTTTTTGTTGTTTTTGTTTTACAAGGTTTTGTATAATAATTTTAACAATGGCAAAAGCAAAACACTCCTCTGAACCATTTTCCTCCTATTCCTTCTTACCCATTTGCACATCAGTCACAGCTTCATGGAAATGGGCTCCATCTCCATCCCCACACAGTCCCTCCTGCTTCAATCTCTTCATGCAAGACCCTCCTTGAACTCACTGTACCAGTTAATCAAGCCCTTTCCACCCCATTACTTGAGTCTCTGGTTTTGTTGACCATTTAAATTCCACATTTTATTCCTGTGTATTGAAGACAGTGATTGTTAAATTAACCATAAATAACAGCCATATCTTAATATGCAGGTCCTTGCTCAATATACTAAGAAATACAGAAACTAGGAGCAATGCTAGGCTGCCTCATTGAGCTAATTGAGTAAAACCCACTCAGGGCTTGTCTCATTTTGCATGTCTCAAGCCTGTTCAGCAGGTTTTTTTGCTCTTACTGTAAAATATCCAACTCTGCACCTAGATACCTCTTAGCATATATGTTATAGCCCTGTACTTTGCTTCCAGAGAAGCCTGGATCTCTTATCTCCTGAGTGCTGGTTATTTCACCCCTCAGCACAAGCTTAGAGCAGTTCTGTGAAATTGTCCATTCTACTTGTGGTTTTTTCCTTTTGTAGCTGCTCTTCTTTTAAAATGCTCAAAGAAATCAGGCCTCTGGACAGGCCAAGAAATGCCTGTATTCACTGGGGACTACCTGAAGGTGGCAAAGGAAGGCAAACAGAGAAGTGCATTTTGGATACACTTTCTGCACCAGGAAGAAAGCCTGGGAAGGTACTGAAAAAAAAACAATTTCTGAAACAAAATATTTATCAATGCTACTTCTGTGTAAACATGCAGGAAAACTATCTGGTAAGACAAGTCTTATACCTGTGATTCAGCTAGTCCCCTGCCTTGTTAGACATTAGCTTTTATCACATATTTTAAGAAGACAGTACAAGTTTTTAGTTGGACAACTACAGAAATCATAGCCACAGTGGGAGAAGATTGTTTCTTCAGTCTGTTTCAACATAGTTTACATTTGGTTAGATTTTGACTAATCTTCTGTAGCGAGAACATTTTATGGCTTTCCCAAATCTCCTGGTCCTTTTGGCAATCTTTCTCATCACTCCATGTATCTCCCTACTTTTTAAATTCTGGAAAGACAAAGCTACTTTACTGTCATCTTCTAACAGCCATGTTAGTGTTAATTTGCTTGTGACAAAGGCCTGACTTTAGCTTTGCCTGTACTGGGATAATCTTATAGGAGCTTATATCTTGCTTCCTTTTTATTTGACTTCTAGCTTTGCATTAGATAATTAGCAGTATATAGCTTTGTATCTTTATGTATATTTTTTTATATATATATCTCACAATACCTAAGGGCAGAAAGCTGTTTCAGTTGCTTTTCTTTAACAGCAGGTTTATGCAGTGGATGCGTCTGCTCTAAAAGCAGGATTAGAATCACCTAACTCATAAAGGCCTCTGAATGAGGAGAACTCTGCTAATTGTAGATTTTTGATTGATTTTATAAGTAGCTTATGAATTATTATGGGTTAAGAACAGTATTTAAAATACCTCTGAGTCAGGCCTCCCTTCAGAGTCAAGCAGAGTTGACTTTAGACCGTCGGGTTGGATTGACCAGCACAGCATTTTATGCCTGCAAAAACTATAAAATAAAAACCCCACAGCTTAAATCACTGACATTTTAAATGTGTTACCGACTTTGGCTTTGCTTCTGAAGAGCCAAGCTCTGCTTTGGAGTGGTTTTTCATTACCATAAGCAGAGTTTCCCAAGTGCAGTCTGCTGCAAATCTGGCTACAACAACCAGTCCTCTTGTTGTTTAGGTGTGTTGGGAAAGAATATAAGGAAGAAAAGGGGCTTTTTCATCATTTCAGTGATGTGGAACGGCAAATGACAGCCCAGTACTATGTGACGGAATTCAACAAAAGACTGTATGAGCAAAAAGTCCCTACCCAAATATTTTACATCCCATCTGCAGTACTCTTGGTAAGAGCTATCTTCTAAGCAATACAAAGGAATCAATGGGAAGAGTATCTTCAGTCAATTTTGATTTTAAAATAGTCGCAGTTAGGCAACCTCTAGATAACATGCTATTTTAGCCAGTAGCTGCATTTGCTTATTTCAGGGCAGAAGACACCTGTCTGCAGAGCTACAAGTTCATGGGTGCACTGACAGAAAAGATGCCTTGTACAAGCCAGAAACCCACTTGTAAATGAAGCTCAGGAGTTACCGAGCCTTTTATATCATCTAACAATATATGAACATCTATTTTTCTGGGTTAATTAGGAAATCTGAACAGCAAAGTGACCCATCTTGAGCACCACAAAAAGTGTCAAAACCTCACTAGAACCCAACATGCAAGGTTCTTGCAGACAAGTTGATTTGCTGAATTTCAGGAACACAGGACTGGAAAGTTTCTCTTTGTGATTCATCACGTCCAGTGCCCTGATAACACAGGCAACAACACTACACAATCCCTTTTTATACTCATTAAGTCTTACCTTAAAAGTAGCCATAGGACCTTGTGTTTTGTGTTTTAGCCTTTATCACTTCCACTAAGAAATCATTCCAGAGCTGCTCTCTTGATGTCTCGAAACTTTCTGCTATTTTCTAATCTAAAATTAGTCAATTTATATTTATTGTCTTCCTCACTTCTTTGAGGCCTACATTTAAGGAAGAAGCAGCTATAGCATCCCCTCATCACCTCTGTTCTCTTGACAAGACTTCAGTTAGAGGAGCTTTAGCATCCTTGTTTTCACACCTCTGCTCACATGACAGTCATTATCCCTCTCTTTTCAGATACTGGAAGATAGAACTATAAAAGGATGTGTGAGTGTGGAGCCCTATATCCTTGGGGAGTTTGTGAAGCTGTCCAACAACACAAAGGTAGTAAAGAATGAGTACAAAGCCACAGAGTATGGTCTGGCCTATGGCCATTTCACCTATGAGTTCTCCAATGGAACAGACGTTGTTGTGGATCTGCAAGGTTTGTGTTACAGTGAACTTCATTTCTTGTGAAGACTTAATTTCTCATTTTGCGAAATGTGCTATATAAAGGTGTATGTGTATATATATATATATGCTATATGTACTGTTGCTAAATTATGTAAAGTGAGGGAGGTATTTGCAAGTATGTTTTTGCCTTGTTCTTGTTCTCCACTGCATTGCAGCAAGAGCAGGTAAGCTGCATGAAGTCTCCTTGAGCTCTTTGCTTGAGAGCCAAGGGTAAAACCTTTCAGGCTCAATCTTTAGTACGTAGGTATCTTTGGGACATTCATTTTATTAAATATTCATAGGGATCTGCTTTTGCTGACATGTTGCAAACTGGGAATCACTGAAGTGGCGTTAACAGAGTGTGGGCCGTGCCAAAGCAGACAGACCTGAGTACAGTAATACACAGGCTGTGGTGTTCAATACCAAAATGTAACCTTTCTTCCTCAGGCTGGATTACAGGTGACGGGAAAGGCCTCATCTACCTCACAGATCCCCAGATTCATTCTCAATAGCAAAGATGTTTCACACTCCAACTTTGGGAAGAAAGGGATATATTACTTCTTCAATAATCAACACATGGAGTGCAATGAGATCTGTCGCTGCCTTTCTTTAACAAGACCCTCAGTAGAGCTGCCAATGTAGAGTCACACAAGACAGTCACACAAAGAATGACCACTAAGCTGGGCAGTATTTTATCCTACATGGCTTTGGGAGCATATTGTCTTTGAAAATGGAGTCACTGAGACATTACCTGCATGAGTTTGGCAATTTCTGGTCTTTGCATCCAGGCTGGCAACACCATGTTACCATCCTGTGGACTGTCTGAACTTCATGTTGTTGTAGCCTGTAAGAATTAACAAAAGAACATAGAAAGAGGAAGAAAACAGCTTTCCAAATTCAGCTAGAGGTGTACTACCAGACTATAAGCTTCTGATCCACTCAGACCTAGTAAGGGCAACAGGTGCCATCTGCTCTTTGGAAATAGAATATGAAACAGAGAGAGACAGAAGCAGCGAGCTGTCTTTCAACCTTCTGTAAAGGTTGTATAAATGCTCTGGGGAGCAAATGGTGATGTATTGGTTTGCTTAAAAAAATAGTTTCTTTCAGAGGTGTGTATGCCTGCGTACATATGTGAACGCAGAACACCTAAGCATTTGGAAGTATGGTTTTAGCTGGAACAGCCAAGAAAGCTCTGCTACCCCTGATTTTTAACACCAGGACTGAACAGCCTGTGGCATGCATTCTGGCCACATGCTTCAGCAGTGCCTGCCTAAGTTAGAGGCAGCTGCAGCCTTTTAATTTTTATGAAACAGTCTTTTGTGGTTTGTTTTTTAATTGTTTTGTTGTTTGGTGTGTTTTAGATTTTTTTTAACTAAAGCTTGCAATTGGTTCATCTGACTTTCTTGAACACCTATAGCAATTCACATACTGATAAGGCCTCACCCATCTCCAAGAGACCCAACTGCTAGAGTCACTCTGTCATAGTGAATTTCAGAAGAATGTAGAAGGAAGCAATGCCCTTCCAACTTGGTGAACTTCAGCTGAACAGCTGAAAACTTTTATGGCTTTTTTCCCCACACAGGCTGGTTAGCTGAAAAGAGTCAAACCTGCTGGCATGGTCAGATCATGTATACATCTGCTGTAGAGAAAACAGCCATAAAAAGAGGGGGGATAGGAGCTCCTTACACAAAATGCTGCTCCCTTTCAATGCTGAATTCAGCCAACTGGAGTGTCTGGTTAAAAAAAAGCAAAACAAACCAATTCCCAATATTAACCAAATTCAGGCTGTGATGAAAGAAGCATTTTCAAATCAATTAGGCTGCCTTTTTTTGTAAGTCCTAAAAAGTTCAACTACTCACTTTACATCTACTGCTGACAGATTTTTAATGCGTTACCACGCCAGGATGAGTGGCCTTCAACCTTTATTTCCAAGGCGTGATTAACCTGCGTGGGCTTCCAGGGGGACACTTCTTTCAGCCTCTGTCAAAGACATATTGCAGATTTTGATTAAAAGCAGGGAGAATATCTTTGCATCTACAGGTTGCAGCTGATTTTCTGTTCCACAAGAGAAGGAAAGTATCCTGGGTTCAGCAGTTGCAGTCATTTTTCTCCTTCTTAGTAGCTGGTGCAACGCTGTGTTTTTGACTTTCAGCCTGGGAACAGCGCTGGTAACACTAATGTTTTTAGTTGCTGCTTAGTAATATTTACTCTGACCAAGGACTTTGTGAGTCTCATGCTCTGCCAGGGAAGAGGGGAAGCCGGGAGGAAGTAGAGACAGGACACCTGACCCAAACTAGCCAAAGAGGTATTCCATACCACAGCACATCATGCCTATTATATAAACTGGGGGCAGTTACCCAGAAGGGCTAGTTCACTGTTTGGTCGGGCTGGGTATCGGTTGGCAGGTGGTGAGCAGTTGTATTCTCTTCCCTTGTTATTTCCCTTATCATTATTATTATTGGTGGTAGCAGTAGTGGTTTGTCTTATACCTTAGTTACTGGACTGTTCTTATCTCAACGCGTGGGATTTACATTCTTTCGATTCTCCTCCCCATCCCTCCAGGAGAGGAGGGAGGAAGGGGTGGGGAGTGAGCAAACAGCTGCATGGTTTCTGAGTGACAGGCTGGGCTGAAGCAACGACAGAAAGTGATCTTATATTCTTCCAGCACACCTTTCCTGGTGTTACTAGCTTAACTGGCAGGTAGAAAAGCTACTTCTGGGAAAGTTCAAGCAGCAGTTTTATGTATTCCCCTTAACAGTGACACATAAAACGGGAGCAACAGGACCGGAGCAACACATGGAACTGGAGCTAACATTTGTTGCTGCTTCTCCAGCTGAAGGAAACTGGGATGAGACCTTGATTTTACTCTTCCAAGACCATACCAGCACCTCCAGAATATGTGTGTGAGAAATGGTAGTTGGCTTTCCCCCTCCATCATCTGTGAAAGGCTGCCTTCATTTTAAATTCTCCTCCTCCAAAGCCCTGATGTCCCACTGCCCCCAAGCATAAAGGCTGTGATCATTTCTTTGGGGAGACTTTTTTGATGAGAAAGGAAACAGGGCATCAAACTTCAAAAAAAGATGGATCCCCAGCAGAGAGTTGGCTTTAACAAAACCATTCTCTTTTGTTTCTGCAGCCAGCAAAGATTTTTTTAGGCTTTTGTTCCATCTTTTTACAATGCTATTGTTTTCTAGGTGATGTTTGTGCTGAGTTGTTTGGAAAGATGCCCTATCACTGCACTGCTTGATTAGAACTAGGTGTAAAGAGGGAGCAGCAAGAGAAGAAAAAAAATTAAATCTCTTTATTATGGTGCATAAACCTTCAGTGTTGGGGAGCTGGGCAGCTGCGCAAGAAGAAAAATGCATTCAAAAATATAATGCTAGTGTGAATAATCCTTTCTCTAATGCTGCTTGCAGACTGCTTCAGCTTTGTCAGGTGAACTTGAACTGAGCCATGAGATTTGCTGCCGTTCCCACTGCACACTGTCTATCACCCCGGGCCATTCACCATCTTGACTGTTGTTAAAAGTGAGCAAACAATCCATCATTGAGCCAGAGAGTCACTGCCTCATAGAAAAGTAAAATCGGCATGTGACAGTACACTTGGCCCCAGTGTTTCACAGATTAAAGTGATACATGAAGACTCACGTGTTACTGGGAAGATTAAGCCCGTTATCTTGTTCCACAGCCAATAAAGAACAGCCTTGTCTGCAGCAGTAGGGAAATGCTGGCTTTAACCAAGTGACAAACGCTGCACATACATAGCTCCATGCTCTGGCAAAAGAGAGCAATGAGCTCTAAAGAGGAAACAAAGCTTGTTAGCAAGATCTGGGGAATTAATAAGCAGCAGAGATGCTGTGTTAAAGCCTCTCTGCAGAGGCTTTCCCTTCTCTATAGAGACAATTAAAAGCAAAACAAAAGCTCTCAGACAATCTCTGCAGAACAAAGTGTCCCAATATGCTGCCAGCAGCCAGCCCTGCAATGGCTGTTGGGGTAGCACATGCTGCTTCAAGACCCTGGAAAGTAATGCCTGTTCCAGCTAGGCCTCTTGGTTAAGGAAAGGAAAAAATACAGATTTAGTTATGTTCCTAAATTAATCCATCTGTGGGAAGTGTTAGTGTTTTCACTTCTTCCTAATATTTACATTCAGCAGCTGATTTCTTCTGTTGGTTTCTAGCATATATTTTACCATCTCAGACAAAGCGATGGCTACTCACAGTTAAAAGTTAGGATTAAGTATCAGCTGGTCCAGTTCCATGTTAAAACCAGACATCACCATACTTAACCCCATAGCTTGTACTGGTCTTACTCTTTACAGTTTGGGCACAAATTCAGAGGCATCAGTCCTTCACAAACGCAGGATCTCTGTCTTCATCCAGGGCTTGGATACTGGAAATCATGGATTAATGTGCTCTGTAATGTGCTCTGGAGATGTGCTCTGTAATGTGCTCTGGAGAATTTAGGCATAAATGGCCTGAAACACACACAACTTGTGTTATTGCTTCATATTTGTGGTATAAATAGGTGATTATTGGAGAGAATAAGTGGTTGACTCTGATGATGGATCATTTGATATTTTGGCTGGAAGTTTCATCTTGGAGCTACAATTTCTGTTCTGCTGTTTCCTCTGGTTTCAGAAGAAAGTAATTTGAACCAAACAAGACTTAAGGAATACTTACTTTTTTTTTTTTTTTTTTTGGGGGTGGGGGTGGGGGTGGGGGGGTGGGGATGTAAAGCCTGAAGAAACATGTCCTTTTCTTGGCTAAAGCAGCCAACACAAGGACTTGAGTATTAGTGTAAGTGCTGGCACTAAAATATCTCGCTCTTGGCAAGGTGATGACACTTCCCTGTACTTCAGGGCAGACATTTGATTAAAGAGGTTTTTCCCACCTACCTTTCTGCAGGCATCCAGGTGAAAGGCAGAGATCTTGTTTGCTGTGTGCCATGTACTTGTGCATAAAATTTAGCACATTTGATATCAAGAGGGAAAAACTTGATGCAACCAAAGCCTGTTAACCACAGGCTGAACAATTTTCTTACTGTTTTGGCAACACCTAACGTTACACAGCATAGGAGTTTTCCCAGCACATCCTTTCCCCGCCCCAGCCAGCAGAGCCATGGGAGTCTCTCAGGGGAAAGAAACCAAGCACACACAACTGTATCTCTAGGCACTTACAGGTGGTATGATGTGCTATTATAAACTTGAAATAACCAGAATGGGGATATATGCAGTGAGATATTGACCAATAGCTGCCCCTGGGAGTTGGAAGGGAGGGAACTCGCTGCACCAGCACCCAGGTGCCTTCCCCAGCCCTGCTGCAGGGAAGCCAACAGCCTGCAGCAGCAGTGTGCTGCTCTCACCCCTCTCCTGGGGATGACACACACCATTCCTCCTTTTTTCCACTTGGATGAAATAATCTCCCACATCCTTCTGCAGAGCAGGAGCAAATGGGGCTGCTGCTGCTGCCCCAGCTCCATGAGCCCATCTGTAGTTCCTGCAGCCTCCCCAGCCTGCCCACGGTGACCCCCCAGACAGAACTTAATCCCATTCTTTAGTCAGAAAAATTCTCTGCCAGGCTATTTTTAAGATGGAGTGGATCTTTTCATTGTCTTCGCTCAAAGCAGTTTCTCCCTTGACCGAAGCCCAAACCAGCATGTCGGCTACTGGGGCTGCTGTCCCCTTCGCGTAGGCCATCACATTAATAGAGGTTGATTTGCAAACAGTGTTGTGTCCCCCCCCTTTCTAGTGCCCCCCTTTGCCTGACTCCCGCTTTTCTGCTCAATGGCACAGATGCTGCTTTGTGCTGCTCAGGACCAAGCAGCTATTATCAGCAAATCCAGCGAGGGAAATTAATGAAGGCGACTACTAATAAAAGACAGCTCAGAACGGCTATCCCAACTTGCTCTGAGCAGCAGTAATTAACTTTTTTTAAAACTCATGAAGGTAAATATGCCATCGGCTTTGGTCCAGTCTCTCTTCTTTTTAATCAAAGGGGGGGGAAGGAAAGTGAGGAAAAGGGGATGGATGCATATCGCAGTCACCCTAGCACCATCCCTATGCCCTCCCTGCATGCTGCCAGCTTTATTTTAAAGACAATATTACTTTTCTTTAATCAGAAGCCTGAATTTAGTACAGGAAGTCAAGGGGAATGAGGAGGTGGCCAGAAGTTTGCTGGACCTGCACAGTTGAAGGAAACAGCTTAGCTTGTCAGAGCAAAAGAGTCTGTCTTAGACCTTAAGATGCAAGATCTGGCCCTGTAGTAAAACAACCTGCACCAGGTTTAAAAGAATAAATTCCATCAGGACTTCTCTTCATGCAAGTGGACTGCAGTGCTGTGATTAACTATATAAAAGATGGGCGCCTGAGATTTTTTTGCCTGTATGGTACAGAAATCAAATTTACAGGACAGTGTGTACTATTCATGACCCCAAGTGATAAATTGCAACCCCCCCCCCCCATCCCTGCAGAACCCCTCTTCACCCTACATGCAACTTGAAGATTCCCAAGATCACAAATTAACCATCTGATGTTCACTTGGACACCTGCCTTATACCAAACCCTGGCCTGCAAGAGCAAACCCTGTACTGTTTATCTGATTACTTGAGGCTTCTTGACATTGCCAGTGAATGCTTCAAATGTCTTCCCCAGGCAGAGAGCAGTGCAAGGCTTTTGGTCCTTTCCCTAGGATTGTTCTTCCTTGGAACACTGCAAGGTGGTTGTGGATGTGAAAACAAACCAGAGTATGGGCAACAGGCTCCTCAAGGCCAGAGGATCTCAGTGATGATGGGAACTGGGGTGGTGATGGCCTTTCCCCTAGCCACTGCTCTGAAGTACATCTAAAACACCATAAAAATGAAAAACTGGGATTTTTTGAGAGATCAGCTTGTATTTAATGGCATTAAATCCATTCAAGGAGAAAAGGCTGCAAAATTCCCATCTGAGAAGTATGAGTGTGAAATTTGAGGACCACCAGATGAAATGACTGAAAGGTGGATTTCCAAACGAGAAAACAGTGAAATGCAGAAAACCAATGGGAAAAGTGAAGCCTGAGGCTGTGGGGAGGTGTGTGCAGCAGACCCTTCGCCTGCTTGAAATGATGAAAGGAAAAACTTGCCTTCTCTGCAGTGGAAATGAGGGAATCAAGAGGGAGGTGAAGGACAGAGAGGGGACAGAGGCAGAAGCTGAAGCCCTCCAGCCAAGTGCCCATCCCAAGAGAGATGTCAGCAACCCTAGGATTGTGTGGGATCATCTGCAGAGAAACATGTTTTATACACAAAAAATACATTTTGCAAGTATTGTGGGGTGGCCTTTCATTGTATTTCCAGACGCTCCATGCATAGTTTATTATGGAGATAAGAAAATATGTAACTTTAATATCCCAGATGATCAGTCTTTTCAATTAAAACAGTGTTATGCAATAACTAATGGATGCAGTGTCAAAAAGACAGCTAGTGTGTACTTAATTTAGTGTCATACATGTTTCAATAGCAAACTCATCAGAGAGCACCACAGGATGGCCTGTAGCAGGTGAACCCTCATCCAGTTGTTTCCCAACATTTTCACCATCAGGAAACCAAGGAACTGCTGTGACAATAAAATAGTCAAACCTGGGGAGCAGTGGACCCTGAACCTCAATCTGAGGCACCTGAATAGGGCTTTAGGAAATTGGGTTTTTCTTTGAGGTAGATCCCTCATGCTGGGGTCTTCAGATTTACCTAGGAAGCAACCTAAATTGCATTTATCATCCTGCCACATCTTCTACCTTCACTTCTAGTCTGGATTCACACCCAGTGGCTCAGCAGTGAGGCATCTAAGCTCTCTGCCACAGCTTAAAATCCACCAGCCAGATGAGGGGCTGAGTCAGGAATGCTGTTCCAAAATACAGTGTGCAAAAGGATCATAAACATGCATTATTTGGGCAAGGTGCTGCTTGGAAACTGCTCCTAGGTTTTCCACTTCCTCCTAAGAGGCGATTTGCTATCCTGCATCCAGGTTCACTGCAATTTCATAGAATCCTAGAATCACATGTTGGTTTGGGTTGGAAGGGACCTTAAAGCTCATCCAGTTCCAGCCCCCTGCCATGGGCAGGGATACCTTCCACAGACCAGGTTGCTCCAAGCCCCATCCAGCCTCCTGATCTTCACCTCCAAAAATCAGTCTTCTGAGAGAAAAGAGGAAAACTGAAGGAAAACAAGGGGAAGAGGGAAATTAACTCTTTCAAGTTCAGGAGGAAGAAAGAGGGAAATAAGCTCTTTTGGCTACATTTGGAAGAGAAATCAGGATGTGGATTAATGGGGAAGGTAACAAGTCCTGTCTCTGTATCTCCCTTTGCCAGTACTGCACTGCTGCCCCGTCCCAATCTTCTTCAAGGGCATCTCCAGCCAAGCCCATCCTAGGGACCAGGGTTTGGTCTGTGTGATGGCACCCAACTCGAACTCCAGAAAACTCCTCTCCCACTCCCAATCCATTCTTCAACGCTACGTGTGCATTTTCCCATAGTGGCTCCCACTGCCATGGTCCGGCCGGACAGTGGATGTAACAGAGTCTGTACCTGGAATGGAAAGAAATACCTCCAGGATGACAAACTTGGGAAGCAGCAGCATTCCTCCCAAAGAGTGCTGGAGGGAGCATGTGAGTACTGAGCCACCTGAGATGTACCTGAAGCACATCCCACCCATCCCAACCTTTTGAAGAGCTGAAGGCACCTACTCCAGGATCTCTTAAAAGCAAGAGAGAAACTGGGAAGGACAATGAGACTCAGCCAGAAAAGACAGAGAGGCTGAGTGAGCTTCTGGCTTTCTTTTGGGGGGGGCATTACTGGAGTTTAATCATTGGAAGGGGGTTGTGAAAAGTGATCGAGGGTGAAGCCTCCTCTCATGACAGGCTGCCCTGCCCACTGCTAATGGATTGAAAGGCTCCCTCTTGTTTTGTTCCTCCTAGCCCATGGCAGATTTGGGGTGACACAGCTTCATCGTGCTGCCCACATCAAAGCAGTGATTATGCAAATGCTCCCACTTAATTTTTTTTCTTCTTCTTTTTTGGAAGGAATTATTTATCACACAATAACCCCCCTGCTGGGGGGGGGGGGGGGGGGGGGGAACAATAGCTCAGGCTCCGTCGTGCTGCTCGCCCCAAGGCTGCGGGGAACCCCCACATGTTTTATTGGCCTAACCTAATTTCACTAATTCTCTTTTCACACATTTTGGGGTTGTTTTTTTATCCCTTCTTGCCCTTTTGAGGCTGTCACTCCCAGCACTGGGTTTCACGCTCCCAGGATCAGGGGAAGGCACGAGGCTGCATCTTTTATTTAATTAATACATTCAGGCGCCTCCGCTGGGATTTAATGATTTCCAGGTGTTCGGACCCAGAAGTCAGAGTGCTCCCAGACACATGGGGGGGGATGATTGAGGGGCATCAGTGGCCTCCAGCATCCATCCCTCATCCTCCTCCATGGTGACATCCTTGGGCAGGTGCATTGGACCATCCATCCATCCATCCATGCAACACATTCACTGCGCAGAATCTTCTGTATCAAGAGGCAAAATTAAACCATAAGTAAACTTCTACTGAATTTATATATTTATCTACTGTGCTTAGTGCGGTTTTCTTCACATTATGAGCTACACAAGGAACCCTAGAACCAAAATGCCATGATGAGAGGTGGAGGCTGAGTCCTGCATGTGTTTTAGCATCTAGAACCCATTTGAGGATTTGCTCGGCTGCAGAAAAATAGGGAACTTTTCCTTGGTTTGGCTCCATGTCTCCCTAAGGAGCTTTAGCCCTAAAGAATGGCCTCTTGGCCCCACACTGGGGCTGAACTGACTCCTACAAGAGCTTCCTATTCTGCAGAAAAAAGGGGTTTCTTCTATGAAGGCAGAAATTTTGGGGCTTTTACACCCAGAACCAGACCAGGAATCAGCCCCCCCAGCCTGTAATTCCCAGTATGGAACCCCAAAACAAGCAGCAAGCCCAAAATATATGAAAATTAGAGCCTTTTATTTATATTTTACCACAAAAAAACAATCCCTTTGCTCTTCAGCTGTAAATACATAGTGGAATAAACTCTGTAAATTATAGAAAAAAAATACATCTTTTCCATGAAATCTTCCTTTATAATAAATAAACGGTGAACACACGTGCAGCTGATCACTGTAATGTCCTGTGTCTGTTGACGTTTTCAGTCTGTTGATTTATTTTTCATCTCCTGAAAGAAGGGGGGAGTTCCTTGTCCCCTTAAAGGTCAAAATAAATAATGCATGGGGAGGTTCTCCATCCCTATTCCTATTCCCCCCACCCGGGGTGGGGGTGTGTGTCTCTATTTAATTTTTGATAGAGAGTTCTGCCTAAATTTCCACGCTTGCATTCAGCCCTCACAAAGCCTACAAATTATACAATGACTTCTAACCCGGACCTCTAACAAAAAACACTTTAGGGGTGGTGGGGGGTTTTAAGCCTCTTTCTCTCTTTCCCACCCCCCCCCCCCCGACAAATCCTACGGGACAGATGGTGGAAGGGGAAGAGCGGAATGAAGGGGGGGTGTGGGGTGTGTGGAAAGCCGCGGTCACAGACTTGGGAGCTGGACAAAGTGCACATCGGAGGGAGAAAACACAAAGTTTGGTTTTGGCAGCTGACGGGTCCAGAACCGTGGGAAGCGGCGCAGATGCCGCCATCCCGATGGTGTGAACGAGAACACCGGGCTAAAGGCAGCGGCGGGACAGCGGCACCGTGGCGGGGGCGAAGCGTCTCGGTGGTGGCGGCCAGTGCTCGGCATCCGACGCGGATCCTCCGGGGCTGGCGGGCGATAAAGTGCAAGCGCGGGGAGAGGCGGAGGGCGCAGGGCTGGCGGTGCCGGCGCTCCAGGAGGGGCTGCCCGCTCCCCCCACCGCCACCCCCGGGAGCACCGGCGGAGCCCCCGCTAGCCGCAGCGTCTCGGTGAGCGCCCAGATGTAGTTGTGTGCGAAACGGAGGGTCTCGATCTTGGTGAGCTTGGCGTCCTCCGGAAAGGTGGGCAGTACGTCGCGGAGGGCGTCCAGCGCTGCGTTCAGGTTGTGCATCCGGTTGCGCTCCCTGTTGTTGGCTTTCAGCCGCCGGCTCCGCTTCAGCCTTTGCGCCGTTTCCGCCGTACGAGTTGTACCGCGGCTCCGGCCCGGCCGCCGCTTGCCCTCCGCAAGCCGCCGAACACCGCGGCCGCCCGCCACTTCCTCCTCCACCACCGGCCGCGGCTCCTCCTCCTCTTCCTCCTCCTCTTCCTCCTCCTCGTCGGCGCTGGACGACAGCGAAGGAGAAGGGGCCGGCGAGGCCAGGCCCAGCAGTAGCAGCTCGTCCTCGGCGGGCCCCGACAGCTCCTCCGCTTTCACCGGCATCTTGCGCGACAGCACAGGCGGCACCGGAACCGCACGGGGCACACTCCCCTTCGCCTCACGGTGGAAAGCGCGACGGTATAAGGGTGAGGTGAAGGGGGGGTTGTCGGGTGGATGTGGAGAGGGGAGAAAGAAGGGGGGCAACGGTGGCACGCGCCCCGGGGCCCTTCGGCTGCGTGTCTGGCACACGACCGCTCCTTAACACCCCTTATATATCCCGCGGGGAACAATCAAACCTGCCCGCGGGGGCTCCCGTCCGTGTGTCCCGTCCTCCCCCCACTTCATCCCTCATCCCTTCAGCATCGTCCCCTCCTCCCCCCCCCCCCCCCCAACAGAACGGAGACCTCGCGCTCGGCTGGAGCGTGCCGCTAATTTATTAATGAATGGTAACTGCGGGAAGGAAGGGGGGGGGGGAGGGGGATCGAGAGGCTCCGCCGCCGTCCAATCGCCGTGGCCTGCGCGTGCCGGCTCCCTCACGGCCACTTCATTGACTAAGGGGCGGCGCCATTTTATAGAGGGAAGTAAGGGGGTTCGGAGCGTAGAGGTGCTTGCTGGAGGGGACGGGCACACAAACGTTTGAGGGACATACCACCCATTTTTGGGGGATGGGGGGTTGCTGGTGCGGGTTTTGTGTCTTCTCCCCTCTGCTTACAGCTGGTTTTGACACGGAGCAGATCAAAGCCTGAGGAGATCGGGGTGGGATGTATTGCCTCTGGAAAGCAGCAGGGTCCTGTGTGGGCTCGGTGCTGTCAGACGCAACCCTTGGGTACAAAACGGGCTGTAAAATACTTCTTAACCCCCCCACACAACCACTTTACAGGCTGTTGTGTCAAGGGGATGTTGGTTTGGCTTTTTGTTCCTGGTGTGTGTGTGTGTGTGTGTGTGGGTTAGTAGGTCTTCTGAAGCTTCCATTTATTTCCTAAAATAACCTGGAGATACAGAGACAGTGTCAGATAATAGAGGTTTTTTTTTTTCTATTAAAAGAAGAGCACCGTAACACGCTTCTACACCATTTTGTGATATGTGTGTCAGGCACGTACTGTACAGTGAACTGTTTCTGGTATTAACCAGTGTAGGGTTCAAGCTGTGTTTGTTTTGTCAGACAGACACAGTCGTCCTGTTAACTTTTGGGTAACACCAGTGACTCATCTGATAAAAAATAATGGCTTAAACAAAGGACTTGGAGTAGTTTGCTTCTGGAAGAATCCAACAGGAGAGCTTCCCGATGCCATCCCTTCTTCCTCAGAGCACCCACTAGGGCAGAAAGCCAGGCCTGGCACCCGATGGACCCACATGGGTTAGGGCAAGTGAAAGGTCAAGGGTAGCGTGGCATCCTCCCCACATGGAAGCTCCATCACTGAGGCACTCTGGGGAGTCGGACTCTGAAATGGATTTGTATTTGCTGCCAGTGGTAAAAAAACAGAAAATAGATGTCAGAGGTAAAGTCTCAGTGGGCATGTTGCTGGGGGTTGTGTGGAGACATCCTGCTCTGGGATCAGGGACCACCTGCTCACTGGGATTTACCTGATCTGTTAGAAAAATTTCTAATTGTATAGAATCTAAAGGCTCTACCAAGAGATTTTAACTCTCCCCTCCTACTGAAAAATGGAAACCTGTAGGTCCCCTTGGCATCGCAAGGGAGTGACACAAAGAGACCTTCTTCTTTTTTCAGCACCTTAAAGTGTGTTGCAGTATTGCCTGTGACCAGGCCAGTCCATCCTGCTGCCCACACCCTGTTGATGGGATTTATGTTCTTCTGTCGATGCTGAGAGCATCTTTTGGAGTTCACCCCAGTTCCCCGATGAAGAGATTTTCTCCACAGGGCTGAGCAGAAATTGACTGAGGGTGAGTCGGGGTCCAAGGGATGCTTGTGTGGTCTGTGGCAGCCCTGGCTGAGCTGCTCAGCCAAGAGGTGCTCTGCTAGGAGCAGTGGGGGGAGAGGGAGTGCTGCCCACTGCCTGAACTGTCTTCCAAGGGTCAAACTGTTCAACTTCAGCCCCTTTGCCAGACTCAATCCTACTTTACGGGAACAAAGGCACAAAATAGGCAACGATCAAGAAATGGGAGCACAATGATTTAAGCTTATCACACAGCCCAGAAATAAAGGACTCTGAGCTTGTGTGCGGGAGGCAGTGGGGGGAAACCTTCAGAGAGGCTTTGTTTGCTGTAAGAAGATTGAACCCTGAGGTGACCCAACAGCCCTAAAAGTTTAGGGTCTGTGTTGCTGAGAGACCTTTGGATACAGTCTGTCCACACTCCGACCTCACAAGTCGTGAGCCAACATTAATGGCTTGCCTGGCCTCACCCCTCCCAACTCTGTGTCCTGAGGCCCCCCCGGGAGTCTTCTGAGGGTTTGGGTGACCAGGGCACCCCCAATCCTTGTGGATAGCACCCACAACCCGGTGAGTGTGATGGTTCTGCTTTAAAACTGGGGGGAAAAATGTGTGTCCCCCCCAGCAGGATATTGGGGTGCAGAGGGAGAAATTGAAGGCTGCTGCGGTGCCATGGTCCCCCCATCCAGGTCCATCCTGACACCACCCAGGGAATGTTGCAGCCAAAAGTGCTTCCCAGAGGGATGGGGAGCAGCCCCCCATTCCCAACCTGCAGTAGCAAGTTCAGCATTCATTTTGGGATCGAAGCAAGGAGAATCTGTCCCTAACCCCCCCACCCCCACCCAACTGAGCCCCTCGTCAGGGGCTGATTGTTCCCAATGGATTTGCATGGCAGGTGCAAGCCTGCAGAGCGATTTTGCCACCCTGGCCCCCCCCAACGAGGGCTTGCCTCCCCGCCTTGTGAAAAAAAGCCGCTGGTCCTTCCTTTCCCATGAAGAAGAGAAGCTTGAGGATGGTGTGAACACGCTTCAGTTTTCTTATTCTTTTCTATAGATGTGGGGAAAAGAACAGCCGATTGTGTGAAAACCCCAGTGCCTGCAAAAAGGGACACTGGCTGTCCAGGCGAAGGTGCGCAAGGGAGAGCACTAATCGCTGAACCAGGAGACAAATACGATTACCAGCTCTGAGCCTTGAGTCAGAAAGTCTCATAGACTTTAAGATGTTAATCCCCAACATAATCCTTCCTTTGGCGTGTAGGAATAGTGCAGCCACAAGAGTTGTTTTGTTATTTATATTGGCGTTTAATAAAACTCAGCCAGCAGTGAATGGGCTGCCCACTCTCCAATGGTAATTAATTCCCTATTTCAGTGACCCAATTGTGCTGGGATAGAGCAGTGGGACAGTCCCACTGCCCCAACCCGCCTTTGTGCAGCTACACAGCTCTCGTGCTTCAACAGCTATGGAAACTCATTCTTTTGATGTCATTCAATGAGTTTTCCTTGGGCATCTTCTGAACTTCAAGGACCCTTTTCTTTCTTGGATGCCTGAAAAGCAGGACTAGCTTGACCACCTCTGTAGTATTTAATGATTTGATGAAAGGGCTTTTTTTTCTTATTATTTTTTGGGGGCTGGGGAGGAAGGGGGTTGTGTGAGGAAGGAGAGAAAGAAAATTTGTCAGGCTGCTAGCAAGCAGGGTCTGTCTAAAATGGAGTGCACCAAACTCATTCAGCTCCTCCTTTATATGGATCTTAAAAGCTGCTCTTCCTTACTCAAAATACTTGAGGGATTCTCTTAGTCAAGGCATTTCTAGGAGGGATTTGCTGGGAGGTGGATTCTCTTGTTTCATAGACAAACGCAAACTGGGGGCGCAGATGAGTCTAAACGAAACAAATCACATTTTAAGAAGGTGTTTCCATCCATCAAATGGAAAAATAACCAAAGGGAGAGTAAGATCCCTGGGACTGGGGTTGTTATTGTGGCTGAGGGTTCAATTTTGTGGCTCTTAGGCAGAGCAGTGAAGTGGCTGCAGGAGTGTTTGAAACCAACACATGAGGAACAGCTCGTAGACCCGCAAAGCCGCCCCAGTACAGGGCAACCTCTTCTCTGTCTTTATACACACACACTTCTCCCCCACCCCCCCCCCCCCCCCCCAAAAAAAAAGGAGGAAAGAAAAAAAAAAAGAACCCCTTCGCAAGTCACAAACAATTCAGGCTTCAACTAAAAAAACACAGAGTGAACCATATGGCTGGGGTGGCTCAAGTTGGCTGCATTTTCCCCCAGACAAAGAGGGAATTGAGAGTTGAAGGAAAGGAGAAAAAAAACCAACTTTACGGCTGATGAAGCTGTTGTCTGGAGGCAATGATCCCAAATCTCACGGCTTTATTCCAGGCTCCAACTGAGACGTGATATGTCATATGATTAGCATCTTTCATATTTACAAGAGTGGTCCAGGCTGCTGGTCTTTAAAGGCGAGAGAAAGAAGGGGCATATGCTGAAATGGATTTAGCATTTGAAAGAGAGAAGAGGGAGTGGATAAATACACTTAAACGAGGATTTAGTTTTACTCCTGTCGAGTTCTAATGGCTTGTTGATTGAGATTTTAGGGAGCTGGGACAGAGGTGTCAGCCGGAATTTAAAGGTGCTATTCAACCCGCCGCTTCTCCTTCTTCTGCCCTTCTCCACACTCGAGATCCCGGCATTCCCTGAAGCCAGGAGCGATAGTGATGAAGGACGGGGTCTATCCTGGGGTCCCTAATGGGGACCCGGGGCTCTGCCGAGTTTGTCTCGGTTCCGGGTCTATCAACCGGCCTCACCGGCGGGCAGCGCCACCTTGTGGCGGCGGGATGAGCCATCCGGACCCGGCCTCGTTAGGATGAAGGCTCTGAATGGGGTCTTCACCAATTCCTAAATGTGCAAGGTGACAGAATTGTTCTAAGATACAATGTTATATGTATATAACTACTCTGAAGCGTAATGAAACACTAACAACACATTAGGTACCTTGTAAGCATACAAGGATTTCAGTTATCAAGTAAATGAGTCACTTTATTAATTTTTATAGACATAGAAAGGGGGTCAAACCAGAAGTATCAGACCACTGAGAACCAAACAAAAGTTTCCCCCATTAAATATAAATATTAGGTGTGCAATTGTTCTGATCATTTTTATAGACACGCAGTTCATCTTTTCTTCATCAGACAGGTGCACCTTTTATTTTTCCTTCTTACTCTGCTTCTCTTCCTTCTGATTCTCCCAGTAAGACTTAAGAATGTCATTTAGCCACTGCTCACACTGGCTTACATGCTGCAATCCATTTTCCCATTCTAAAAGCAGGGATAAACAGGATAATTACATCTTACTTTGCAGCATCCATCATCTAAGTCAGCCTGTGGTGATGCAAACATCTACTTTCCCCACACCTATCACATTGCTGTAACATTTCTACTTTGAAAACTGTTAAGAGTTCAGCCATTAAAGAGATGCTTCACTTGATACCAACCAAGTAAGTACTTGATACCAACCAAGTAAGTAAATTATTATTTTGGTATTTCTGGTACTCTTGCTTTTCTAGTTCAAAGAAAGTTACCACAGAAGAATTTAGATGGTGACAGGCACATTTGTTGTTTGTTTGTTTTTTTTTTTACAGCAGGATTAGCTTTCAAATGCATAAATAATTACAGTTAAAGTTCACAGCAAATTCTGTGGCAACTGTAAAAAAAAAACCAAACGATTTTCAAAACCTGTCTTTTCCCTCTGTGGTCTAATAAAACAGCCACATGCATTCAGAAGACAGTGACCTGTAAGCAAAGTAATTGGAAATAACCTGGTAGCATTAGCTCATTGCCAATAGCAATGGATTTTTTTTATTAGCAACTCAAAATTTATCTTCCAAAACCAATGAGTCTCTACTTACGGAAAGATACTACACATTTTTCTTTATTTAATACCATCTATGCAGAAATAGTGCTGTGTAGAAGAATTTGTTTATAACTTGTTTCTGTCTGGGTCTGCTATGTAAAACAAGCAGGGAAAGGACTAGAAATGCAGTGTTGGGTTTCAGCTCTCCCTTACTAGTGTGCTCTTTGTGTCACTGTCTGATGGCAGATGGAAGAAAAAGAAGTCCCACTACCAGATAACAAATGCCCTTCAAGTCTAAAAACAGTTTGCAGGTAAAACTGCAAACATGCAGCTTGCAAATAGTTGCATTTTTCTGACATATATTTTATATGTAGTAAATATACTGGTTTATATAGTATGCATACTTTATGCTTTCTATATTATATAGTATGTACAGAAACTATAAAGTCTCTTACATATAATTACAGAGGATGAGCTTCATGGTTTCAGAAATAGACAAAAAAGAAGCTATTACCTTTGCAGTGATGAATTACTCTTCCCCACAGTCTGTTCCTACTTAAGCAGGGCAGATTCCCAATGATCAACAGATGTCTCCTTGCTCTCGTCAGCGCAACATTCATTCGCTTTTCCGAGTCTATGAACCCAATTTGCCTTGTTCTTACACAAGACAAAACAATGATCTCCTTCTCAGATCCTTGGAATGCATCTACAGTGGACACCTGGACAGCTTTAATTTTGGAAAGCTCAGTACGTACTCCACAGAGCAAGTTCTGAATCTGTAGACAAATAAATATGGAAGGTGATGAATGAGTTTCTAATGAGTTACGTACTAATCACAGCAGCCCTTATGCTGTAGCTGACTGGGTGAGGAACAACTCCAGCTTTACTAAGCAGATGACTGTTACCCATCCTTATCCCATGTACCAGTTTGTAAAAGCCTCTGATTCATTTACCTATCCAGTGTTTCTTTCTGACTTCCAGCTGACTCTTCCTAGTTAAACTAGAGTTTTAAGTGTATTCTAAACAAATATATTGAAGAAAACTATTTTATTGATGATATGTTCCACAAACCTTACACATCTGTGACTTATAAAGAGTAATCACACCGACTGCAGATCCTTCTATTCCACTGGCAATTAGAGCCTGGGTGAGCTTGACTGTGAAATGAGCTTCTGGCATGTTATAAAAGCTGTTGTCTCTTTCAATCTGGAAGTGGGGAAGAACACTTCAAATTTAGCTTTCACAGACAGCAGAATGCAAAAAAAAAAAAAAAAAGGAGGAAAACCTACAGTATTGAGATTTTATATAAGAAAAGTTTAAAAACTTACTTGCTCTACCCCATTGACATTATAAAAGCACAGTGTTGGAAGCCAATCCAGTAAAGGACTCCTGTCTTCCTCAGAAATGCCATCTGTCAGACTTCCATCATAGAACAGGTCATTGGCTATGGCACTGATGGCAGGGTGGCATCGGTACTGTGTCCGAAGAACTATTGCTTTATGTCCCTAAAGAATTATACAGGAAGTGTGACAAGGAAAAAGAATTACTAAATGTTCTGCAATGCCGGCTCGGGTGAATAAGGTGTAAGAGGAAGCAATTCCTGCAGTAAGCTGGCTTAATCTTTGTATATTCACTTCAACTAAAGTCAGAACAAATACTGTGGCCCCCAGTTCTTCTACCTGGATGGAAAACTGCACAAAAAGGAGGGAGAATCTGTCATTTTTCAATTCTTCTTGTTTTACATTTGTTATGCTTAGAAATTTCCAAGCATTGTAAAAATAACCTTTATGGAGCAGTGCCATAGAGTGGAATCTGCTTCATTAAAAACCAGTCTGAAACACTCATCCTCTCACAGCCAAACTCTTTCAGTGGCTTCAGTGGACCTGCAGTTCACCCTCCATCTCTGGTTATTGGTACATACCATTAGACAAAGCCGGTCAAAGAGAGTCTGCTCCAGTCCCTTCTCATGAGCACTCTCAGATCCCTGAATAGGTGGTGGTAACTGCTTAGGGTCTCCAACAATGACTAGCTTTTCACACTGAAACCTAAATAAGAATGTTAAAAAATAAAAAAAAAATCTAGAAAAGGATGCCAGACTAGTCATGTGCTGTGTTTATATATCACAGGTTGCTTTCCATCAGGCTCCCTTCTCCATTGCCCTCTGTCCACATGAAAATAACTCAAGGCACTGAAGAGCAGGTCTCAATTTAAAATCCTTGAGGTGAGACCTTGGAGTTAGTGTTCTTCAAAAGATGTGCAAGTCTGGTAAGTCTGACAATTATTTGAGGTTGTGTCACTGCTGACTTGAAGTTATTTCTCTGCTGAAATACAAAAGGAAGGCTGTACCTTGCAATAGGAAGGAGAGAAGCAGGTTCAGTCATCTGACTGCACTCATCTAGAATCACAACAGGAAACTGAAGAGAATTCAGACAAGGGAACGGGCAGGCAGCACAGGTCACTCCAACCACTTTCACCTTGGTTAGTAGTGAGGGGAAAACAGGTAGACCAGAAGTTAAGATCATTTAATAGTTAAGCTCTGCGCAGCACATAGCTATAGCTTTGGCAGTTTTGTTGCATGCTGTGTTGTACTCGTGTCTCAAAAAATTATGTTCTAACTAACTTCCAGTAAAAGGCACTATGTATACATGGAGATGGATCCAAGGACCATTTCTTATGCTTGGGGTATTCAGAAATTGAGATGTTTCTACAAGAAGTAGCAGTAATCTTAAGAGGTAATACTTTCATGAAAAGTTACTTCAAATACATTTGAAATCTTCTTGGCAGTTGATGTACTAGGATAGATTTAACTCGGAGCTTATCTTTCACCTTTATGACTATATGCATTTTAGTTTCAAGATGGCAGCACAGACTAGCTGTGCTGAGAGATTTTTCTCTCCCCACCTTGTAAACTAGATCGGCAATACTAAATCAGATTGCAGTCAAGCTCAAAAGGGGTTTCTGTCTCATATCACTAAATAGAAACTGCAAGATTGACTAAGAGAAGTTATACACAGGCAAGACGGTAAGCTCAACCTGTGGAATCCAGCCTTAGTCCTAACATTCATTTTATCGTTCAAAACTAGGAGTTTGGCAGGTGTGAGAGGTGATTCCCAGTTCTCATTTGCTGGACCTTATGGATAAGACAGAAGTGAATCCTCCCTTTTCCATCC